CCTTTCTCCTCGCTCTGTGGTTGCTGGACGGAGGCCGGAACCTTTCTCCTCACGCCGCGGCTGCCGGACGGAGGCGTGCGAGGGCAACAGTCCTCCCACCACGGGGCTCCCGTCGCTGTCGCCGGCTGCTGATGTGGGCGGGCCCGGTGGGGGCCGCGGGTGCGGGTCTCCATGGCGGTCGACATCACGTTGCTGTTCCGGGCGAGCGTCAAGACCGTGAAGACGCGCAACAAGGCTCTGGGAGTGGCGGTGGGCGGCGGAGCCGAGGGCAGCCGCGACGAGCTGTTCCGCCGGAGCCTTCGGCCCAAGGGCGACTTCTCCAGCCGGGCCCGTGAAGTGGTGAGTTGGTTGCTAGGGAAACGGCGGGAGGGAGGGGGCGGACCCGCGACCCGCACCCTCGGACTCCGTCGGGGAGCCTTTGTGTGGCGCCAACGCCTGGGGAAAGGGACTTGCCGCGGGAAGCGGAGCGGTGGCTTCTCTGAGAACTGACAGCTGTTTGGGGGGAGAAACACCCTCCCTTTGGCAAATGGGGGTCAGTAGTGGGAGATCGAGATCGAGGAAGCCGGTTTCTCTTGGGCGGAAGGAGGCACTCGGTGTCTTCAATCCTCAGGCGCTTTCTGTAGTAATGAGCTCGCCGTCATTGCAGACTTGAACTGAGCCCCCCCACACACACACACACACACACACCCGCCCCGGTCCTTTGCTTCCTAAGTCTCATCCCCTCCCCTCCAGGCACTTAGTGAAGTTCCCAAAACCCAAACCAAACGTACTGCCATCCTGTCGATGCCGCCTCATAGCGACCCCATAGGACAGGATAGAACTGCGCATGTGAGTTTCCGAGACCAGCTGTCTGCAGGAGCATAAAGCCTCGCCTTTCTCCCGTTCTAGAGATTGGGTTAGTGTAATCTTTCGGGAACGCTCCCGGCTCCGGGCTTCTCAAGGGCTCACTGTGTACCGGATACAGCCAGCCTTTTCCCATCTCTGAGAGCAGGGACCTCTTTGGGGGCTGAGGGGGGCGGGGGCCTTGGCTTTCTCTCAGAACACCCGAGGCAGAACTCGGCAGCTAGTCATAGTCAATGTTTGTGGAGTGAATGAATGGACAAATGCCCGATAGTTTCCCCCACTAAACAGGCAGCCCATAAGGGGAAAAAGAATGTCTCCCTTGTTCCTTTTTGTATCCTTGGCACCAGAAGTGCATCTGGTGTTTATGGGGCCTGCAGGGTACAGGGCTTTGTCTGCCTTCTTTAAGAGCTGTGGAAGTACGGAGGTCAGACCAAATCAGGCTTAGCACTTTGGAAAGTCTAAATAAGAGGCCTGAGGTTGAAGGTGGCCTAGCTTCCCAGTCAGCCACTAGAGCGTGTGGCCCACGGTCCAGTGCCCCTGGGATCTGTAGACACCCAGGTGTGTGGGTGTTTGTGAGTGAGCGTGTGCATGCCTGAACTGATGAGCGGCAGTTTGTGGCGTATGTTAAAGTGTTAAAAGGGGTTTCACAGCTCAAACTGCCACACTGTAGGACAGGGTAGATGCCCTGTGCATTTCCAAAACTGTAAATCTTCATGGGACTAGAAAGCCTCCTCTGTCTCTCAAGGAGCCGTTGGTGGTTTCAAACTGCTGATCTGGCGGTTAACAGTCCAACTCGCAACCCAGTGTACCACCAGGACCCTGAGAAGGGGATTAGACTAAATGAGCATGTTGAGTCCATTGACAAGCACCTTTCCCTGTTCCTTACCACCCCATAACTCATATGCATCGATTCTTCTTTGGTCTTCCTTACTCTTTGCCCAACTTTTGCATACATATGAAGGGATCAGATTGAGCGGACTGCCAGGAGAACAGACCCATCTGCCTTGGAAGAAGTACAGCCTGAGTGCTCCTTTAGAGGCAAGGAGGCGAGACTTCATCTCGTGTACTTGGGACATGATGTCAGGAGAGACCAGTCCCTGGAGAGGGACATCATGGCTGGTAAGATCAATTGTGAGATGGCTCAGGACCGGGCAGTGTTTCATCCTGCTGTGCTTATGGGTCGCTATGGTTGGGAACCGTCTCCATGATGAGACCTAACAACAATTAAGCATCTAGCTCCTGGCCAGCACTGTGTTAGGGGTAACATGGTATAAAAGGCGAGACAAAGGAGACAGACATATGAAAGACATACAGCTATGTAGGTGCTGGGACAGAAAAGTGGGGGAAGTGGGGCGTGTGGGTTTCAGAGGAGAGGGTGGCTGAGGCCACCTGAGGGCCAGGAAGGGCTTGCTAGAGGAGATAATGCTGGAAACATTGAAAGATTTGGTTCCAGTCCAGAAAGGGTGGGGAAGGGCATCTCAGGCTCACAGAACAGTGTGTGCACACAGCTTGGGGACCAGCTGACATGAATTGGATCAATGAGCGTGTGAATGTGGCTGGAACACGGGTCCCCGGGAAAATGAGGC